CTTCTAGAGTTATTAAACGCATGCCTGTTCAATGCGACAAACAATTACGAAAAGCTGTACGCGAAGGATCAGAACGCGCAGCTGTTACCTTAATTGTTTCAACATACTTTTCGTTTGATCAGCGTGAGTAAATCGGTAACTCGCGTGGCCGCGCGTCCAACAGTTTAACTAATTAGCCGAGGAATCCTAGTGATTTCCAAGCGGACGCCGGAAACGGCTATCACGAGACCTCGAGCGTGCTACGGTATATGTGGGACAGGAAATTTCCCTCGCGTTCGAATCTGTCAAAGCCATCGTGCGTCGTTCGAACAAAGCAAACGCAACCATTCCTCGACGTTATTAAACTGAAAATCGCGACGAACTAGTGTATTGTACAAGAAGATTTTCCAGAAGATATTAAACGTTCATACGTTTATCATAATCTCCCTGGCAATCAGACGATTCACAGGCCATGATTTATCATTTTTCTAGCTCCAAGTGTTTTCTGTTTCCCGTGTAAAACACGGTTCCGCGGATGATACCGTGGGACGAACACGGGAATGATAGTAATTTGAACCCAGTGAACTTGAGATAACTGTAATTTTCGTGTGAGAGCAATCGTTAAGAAGATACCGATCTCTTATCACCAGATTGCCGTTAATGGCCACGCTACAAAGTCGACGAAAACGTCAAGTGGAAATGTTCCGTTCGAGTTTCTGGATCGCGATCCTTATCTTGCTCTTTTATTCGTTTCCCTTTTACGAGCACAGCTGAAAATTCATCCTTTCTGCTCACCGTAAAGCATATTCGAAGATGATCCTCAACGGGGCTATTGCACATGTGGTGACCAGATCCGGGAACGACTGGCTGAGTGCTTTCGACACTCGGTATTTGAATATCCTCTCGAAAAACTAGGCTGAAGAGTTTCGAGCACCTCGTACCCGTGGATCGTTAACCCGGGAACGGAACTCCTGGAGACTAGCGTGCGACGTTTGATTTAAAAGAGCGAAGATAACGTTAAACGTCTCTCCTCGACGCCTCCGTTTAAAATGAAAATCGTAAAAGCGTCGCAAAAGTTAGATAAAATATTCCGTGGTCACAACTTCACCGCTGATATACGATTCCTTAAAATTTTTACGAGTTCCGTAATCTATCGTCCCCGCAAAGTTTTTCGCGTCGGATCTTCCGTCAATTCTGGGTTTCTTTTTAACACTTTAGCTGGACGTACAGAGCGTCGCGTTGCGCAAAGTCGAAAGTCGTGTACACGCATTATCTGATTGCGCTGAATTCCGTTCGTTGCTACTGTGCCCTGTCCAGGAAGTGACGTCAGGGATCGCGCAGCGTGTACGAAACGCGCGATCAGGATTTACGCGCGCGTGAACTCTCCTCCCGGTCCGAAGCGGCGTGTCTCTGCTACTCGTCCCGCGGTAGATTGAATCAGCCTCAGGTTCGCTTTGCATTGCAACAGGAAGCGGTGTTACTCGCGCTTCGGTTTACGCAGGATGTTAAGGAGAGATAAATGGAGCGCAACAGGGCGCGTTTTACATGATTCATACTACTTGAAATTTTCGTTTCGAAAATTCGAGCGTCTGTATAAATTTCTATCGAGATGGAAAAATTGAATCGGGTCTGAAATCCACGAACGAATTTCTATTGCTATTCAGCGTTAGAAATCGTCGCTCGCTATTATTACGATTCCATTTCGTAGAATGTTCCGCTCGCTCGAGAGAATCCCAATCGACAGGCTGATGATAGACTGGAAGAATCGTCGGGGGTTTGTAACGTCGGGACGCGGATTAGACCATCTGCGGTTTGCAATTGGCTGCGGCTCGTCGAGCAAATAACAAGTCGGTGAACAGTCGCGATTATCGTGTGGAAGAACTCGCGTCTCCTCGCGTACGTGCTTGCAACGCTTCCTATGGGACCGAGAGAATTCTCATTTGCATTTCCACCACTTCCGACTACGATCAAATTAACGCCTGGAAAGCTTCGTTAGCTATATTTTACACACTCGATGGCATTGATTCTATACATTCTTCCAATCGTTCTTTGCACTGCTAATATTTCAGTAATTCCATTAATGGAATCCTTTCTATCATTCGATGTAATAATTATTAATTATGTAAACAAAATCCAAAGATTATCCCATATTCTCTTTTCAAATCAATTGCATCATCGAAGCAGAATACGAACGTAACGAGTGATCGTAAACATCGGGAGGAGCACGAGTTCCTCGAGGCATCGCCATTCAAGAATACAGAACCATCGTGATAAATCATGGCGGCGCGATGCGATTTCTATTCCCCCAGCAGACGTTCATTCATCGTTGGTCGTGGTAACAGGCGTTCGTAGAGTGGAGGAATTCTGAAGGTGCAAGATGCGCGAGTAGCACGAGCTCGCATTTCAGAGCGGGTCGCCGTGGCGGGCCGGGCCGGGTCGGACGCTGCCACGTACGAGTGGATACGTGATTTTCGCTCGCATCCCGTGCCAACGGTGGTGTACCACGGCTCGGTCGGGTTGATCGTTATCGTGATCAACGGCACGATCGTTTAGTTGCCCGTAAATTTCGCGCCGCTTCCCACGCGACTAGCTCGAACCGCCTCGGATGAATATTCCACCGGTCCGACCTACAGAGGATCGACCTACACTCCGCGTCGCGGCGACGTGGAACGTGTCGCGTCGCAGGTTTACACACGCGATAGGCTACGGGAATACGTAACATCCGTTTTACCTGCGACGACCTACTCCGCCGTATATAGCCGTACATCTGTCGATACCACTCGCCGCCACCCACGCAGCCACCAGCTTTCAGCGCGTGCTCGCGTGTGCGTGCATAAATCACGTCGACGATGCAAACGATTTACTTTCCACAGGGTAGATTAAGGATCAGCGAAACCAAAGGGAAACGCAAGCATTAGTTTCCGGAATTCGAACACGGGAACAGCGTCGATTCGTTTGAAAATTCTACCTCGATATAGATTCTCTTTATTCCAGTTCTCCTTCGACGTCTCTGTCCGTTTTACCTTTCACGGATAAGAGGAGAATTCCATCGAGATCCCGTCGCCTTTTTCTTCGTTTTTCGAGCATAAACCGCGACGGACAAGCCGCGGAAGGTATTTCAGGATCGCTTCTAAAACTGACCGCGATCCCGATCGAAGAATGGAAAGCCGACGTTTTAGGACAGGAAACGGAATATGAATGCGGATAACTGAACGCCGTAGTAAATTTACGATGCGGTTCGAACGGTTCCCACGGACTGATGGAAACCTTCGGAAAAGACGATTTTTCGAGACGAAAGCCATCCTGGTATTCGCGTCGCGATCTTTCCTCGAGCCTTCCCCTCGACCTATTTCCCCGGAAACACGGTCTTTTATTAAATTTCTCGATACGTGCCACTCTGTTTTCGACGTTACGATCGTGCGACTGGAATACGGAACAATACTAGAGAGTTGCTCTTTTTCTTCCTCTCGATCACTAACACATCGTATTCTCTCGATTGTTTATAAGAGAGAACACCGTGTTGAAAATAATATATTTCCCGGCTCCGGCGAACGAATGGGTTAGCTGAAATATCTCGAGGTGTTTGGAATTTCATCTGGACGCACCTTTCCGCGCGCGATCTTGGTTTACGAATAAGTAAGCTCACCGGAGAGAATCGAGATTGCAATAAGCGAGAAACATACGTTCGTAAAGTTCAGGTAAATGTATGCTTGTAAGAAGGAACACGGATCGGCGAAAGTGAGATTTCATCTTTACGTGGCCATTCGGCGAGCGGTATTTCACCGTGAACAAGAGCTTCACACCTGCGAAGAACAGGAACTATGTGTAAGGGATCTACGAAACGTGAGCTATTTATTTTCTCCTCGTGCTTTTACGTCCCGCGAAATTTTTCTAGAAATTTTCTTCTTCGTCTTTCTATACCGTTGAAAAGCTTCGCGGCATTCTTGAAGTCGATTTACAGCTGTACTTTCAGGCGTGGAGCAATAGCTGCACAATGCAGTTATGCAAACATAGATACAATGTTCTCGTTTCATAGTTTTCTTATAACTTTTCGATGAAACATTTATAGATCTTGTTATTTTTAGCTGTAGAACGTATCGGCAAAGAACACCACACGCGCAAAGTAAATACGCTGTTCAACTAGTTCCTCTGTAATTTTATTCCTGGAAACTTAATTAGCTTCGAACTAACTCTAGAACCATTAATTTAAACCAGAATACTCGCGTGCAGAGCACGTTATGAGACTTCCATCAGCCGGAAAATAAGAAGAAAACTGACATCACAACTTTTCGACGAATTCGACCTATGTTCCGCACGAATAAAGTCTGATCTACTAGCCCGAATTGTATCCAAGTTTCTTCGTATACTCAGCAGTATAGTACATAGTTCCAAACGATTCGGTACTTGCAGCCAAATAAGCCGATGGTGCATTGAACTTCCTATACACATTCCCTGTTGTCGCAGAGTTCAAGCGATCGGGTCTCAGCAGAGGCTAAGAATAGTAAAACAATAATCCCTCCGGTTGTTTCACAACTACAGTAATTGAGCAACTACATTGCCGGTTTCAAACTCGTACTCTCTCCCACACACGAGCGGAAGGTTGATTTATAAAATGAGGATAAAATTACAAGCGCTACCGGTTACATAAAATATGGAATGCTATTGTTTCTTTTGGAATCTAGATCGAAACGACGAAGAGAAGCCTCGAGAAATCAATTGATTTTGGATCGACTACGGTTATCTAGAATCTCCTTGGTCGGTTTGATAGATACTCGAAAGTATAGTTCCTCGGTTAACGATAAGCGATCGTACCAATCGATACGGTTCGATGAAAGAACGAATTAATTGACAAGCATACGTAGGTAGGAGATTTGATCGGATGAAGTCACCGGTTTCGTATCGGCGTATCGAGGACCGGACCCTCGACGACACAAAAGAGACTTATCCATCGAGTTTCCCATCCAATCAATGTCACGAGCAAACGTTCATTAACGTTAAGACACGCCCGGTGCTTGTTACAGCAGCAGCCATGATATGACACTCGATTGAGAGGAAGAGTGTGCAACCGACGAGCCAGCCAGCATGAGGAAGTTACTGCAGTTTTTGGTGCTGGTATTGCTGGGTGTCAACGCCAGACGAACGGACACGGACGCCCCTTCGGATGAGGCTCACGCTGGTCAACGTCGTGGTTCCCTTCACAAGTCTAATTACAACAACGGGAACAACAATTACAATTCTCAGTCAAGCTCGCCCTATTTGCCGTATCAGCAGCCGAGAGAGAGAAAGCCGAACATAGTCCTGATCCTGACGGACGATCAGGATGTGGAACTTGGTTAGTGACCATTCTATTTTATTCGAATTATTCAAAAGAACCCGTAAACCAAATCGAACCACGTCCTTTGAGACGATCAAAGGCAAAAGGTAAAAAGGTACAAGCGAAAGCTGTTGAACGAAAACGCAATCTTCTTCTCGAGTCCGAGAAGATTCTCCGTCCCCTCTATCTATCTTTCAATCCGACCCAACTATTTTTCGAACCGTCTCTCTGATCGGCCGTTGCGGTTGGTCCAATCCCTCAGGTTCGCTGAACTTCATGCCACGGACCCTAAGGCGAATAAGGGACGAGGGAGCCGAGCTGAGACACGCATACGTAACCACTCCCATGTGTTGTCCGAGCAGGAGCTCCTTACTGACCGGCCGTTACGTTCACAATCACGAGGTCTTCACGAACAACGACAACTGCAGCAGCCCCCAGTGGCAACGAGATCACGAGCCTCATTCGTTCGCCGCTTACCTGAGCAACGCTGGATATCGTACCGGTGAGTACTCGCCCAATGAACGAGCCTGGGCTACTTTTCTCACCCCTCTCGATGATGCGATGCGATGCGGTTCTTGCTGTCTGCTCGACAGAAAAACAGTTCAGCCGAGCGTATTCTGCTCGTTTTGCGGCAATATTCTTCGTCCACGATTGGTCGATAACTTCGCTTTGTTTCGGATGAAAGAACGAGTCGAATCAAACATAATAAAAGTATAACGAACTGCTATCTTCGATGACTAAGAGCGAAGGATGTTTGTCGCGATTCTCGCGAAAACAACGAACACTGAGCTGTTCACGATTGATAAGAGTACTTGGTCATCCGCCAAGGTATCGCGGTATCGAGGCGATAATTTAGACAATTTGTAGCTGTCAATGGGGCGTTCAGTCGCGTCGAGATTGCACGGGAATAATTTATTGCAGCACGTTCGTAGATAAACGCGGATCGAGGAATTTGCTGTTCGTTCGGGATTACTGAAGTTTCGATTCGCGTTGCGTCACTATACGCATTCAATGACCCGTGACAAAGAGAAAGAGAGAACATCTGGTCAGCTCGGATAATTGAAAAGAGACTTGTACGCGAGTGTAACGCTCCGCTCCTCGCTCGTAATTGGAGTCAAGTACGTTCGACACGATAAATCCTTGTTGCATAAGCAATTACCGTCGACGCGAGCCGACTTGTTGCATTTACCGTTCCTTTTTTCACGTAATCAAAACGAAGGGTTAAAAATCTTATCTTTCTTCTGATTAGCGCCCGGGCATTATTAACCTCTTGACTTGCAATTTAATCGAATTGCAGCTGAATCGCGTGTACTTTACCCTTGAATTTATAGGTATTAACCTTTGCTATGAGAGCAAAGTTAAAAATTCCATTCCCGATTCTGGCCTACACTTCGCGTCCATAAATTTCCACGAATAATCTTCCGGTTATCAAGACGCTGCCGGGGTAAACGTAAAAAAGTTTCATAAGCCCGCCGGTAACGAGCGAGTTGGAGCCAGGTTCAGCTTCAGACAATTATAAAGTTTCGATGCGTGTCATCCCGAAAACATGGACGGTGGCTACCTGGCGAGCACGGTGTTTTACCGTGGGGCCGGGGATGCGTCGTGATTCTCGTTCCACGGCCATAATTACGTGCCAACCGAGACACTCGAACCCGGTTCGGGCCGGCGCGCAACGAATATGGCGATGGATTCCCGTAGAATTCTCGAGGTTCGATCTCGCCGGGCGAGTTCGAGCCACAATTGTGCTCCTCTTCCCCCTGCTCATTGGTATCCGGCAAATCTTGCCCTGTACAAGCCCCGCAGAACCTTTCAGCTCGGTCAAAAACGGTTGCAAAACACGAGCGCTAGCTTCGCACCGCCGATCGATCGCCGATGATTTCGGAAGCGGGCACGAGTTGGTAAGAGATTGATCGAACGCGTCGATTGTTTGCATTGTTCGTTGGTTACGGTGTTCGGAACGATCCGTGCCTCTCGTAACGTCGCGATGGGGCATCCTCGACGCACGAGGAGGCTCGACGCGATACAATTACCGGGCGCACGGGGTCTGAACGCGATCGTGAACGAACCGGACGATTCCTCGTGCGAGGGCAAATAAAAAAAAAGGGAATTGAACTTTTTCGTACGAGCCTTTATTACCGGAGAAAATTAATTCGGAATATTTGCTCAGTTAAGTAATTAATACCTGTATAGAAATTTGTAAGGTTTGCGAATATGCTTGAAAATTAATTAATTTGATAAATGAATGGCTGACCTACATATCTTTGCTGTGCGCACAGCCGGGTTTGTGTTATCCAGGTTTCATAAAGATCATTGATAAGTAATCTCGTTTTGTCATGGATTAAAATTAAAAATCAGATAATTTGGAATATTTAGTCAGTGAAAATTTGTTAATAAATCAACGATTTTGTTTAAAAAATCATCCCTCTCACCGTCCTATCAGAATCTGTGTACGGAGAAGGGTAGACTCCGAAGCTAGAAAGGGCGCCTGATGATCGGTAACGAGCGATTAAGAAGGCTGAGGACGTTCGCCAGGTTCTCGTATTCTCGGAGCGTATTCAAGGTAAACGCATCGAAAGGCAAGGAACACGATTCTTTCGACACCTCGCGACGACCAAGTCTTTTTGCAATTTCACTCAAGGCGTTCGAGTTATCTCCTTCGAATGATCGGTAAGGCTTCGAGCCTGCTTCTTTTCTTTCTTTTTTTCTCCGAGGAGGCTTCACCGTCAGCTGCAGGTGTTTACAGACACCTTTTTGCGGTCTGAAAACGATCCGAGCGGGAAGAAATTTCGAGGCAACAACGAGATCCGAAGGGGGCGAGGACGAATCGATCGATACCTGGCTCGGAATCTTGGTTATTTCGTAGCTAGCATCCGATGAATTCGATTATTGCCCCTCGAAACGTTCGTTCGCGCGAAAACGATTGTCCAGGCCTGCGAACGGAATCGAAGAAGAAAGGAAAAATATCTTTCTCGTGAAAAACCTGTTCCTTCCAACCGAGGCAAGATATTTGCATTTCGTTTGAAATTTATCCACCAGAAGAAGGATCTAACAGAGAGAATGAAACGTTAACAAGGATAAAAAGTAGGACTTTCGAGTGCTACTTGAAGATAACTGATTAAACCCTCGTCATCTTCCTTTGCACCTCCGCTGTTAACTCGAAATACGGGTAGCCTACTTTGCAGAACACTTATCTCGAAATCTTTCAGCTTGTCTTCGAATAATGCTCGACATTAATCCGTCCTTATCTTCGAGAATCCCTTATAAGAAATTCTCGCTGATTTGTATAAATTTTTAATGTCAACGTGATCTATTTAGATAGAGATCCGATTGTTGACCCGAGGCTTGTTAAAAACGAACGCGTATCGCGTCTGTGGAACAGGATCTTGTAAATTAGAGCAAAGGTTGTCGTATCACGAGCAACGGGTATGCATAGATCCTGCGCGAGGCTATCTGGTTAGAAGATTATTCGTGAAAGCGAGCGATGAAACCTGGCTTGGGTCTGTCGCATTCAGAATTCGCTCCGCAACCTCGCCAGACGTCGTCGATCACTAAGGAAGGAATACGTAAGAAAAGGAGATCACGACCGGTAGAGGAACGCGAGCGGAGACAAAAATCTTCTCACGATCGTGACAGTTCGACCCTTCTTCGATGGGTAGAGAGACAGGCTCCTGTTGGGAGAGCCCTTCGAGCACGCGTTCCCTTTAACCACGATCAACGACCACCACTCTCCTTGTCCATCCGTGTTCTCCTCGTTGTTTCGTCCTCCATGCCTCTACGTACGACCATATTCGAACAGCCAGGAAGGACGTTGCTCCCTGCAAGTGGCCAGGCTTCTTCAGCCTTTAAGCCTCGTCCACATCCGCGTTCGCATTGGCCTTCTTCCAAAAATCTAGTCGTGCCCTCGAATAATCCGCCGAAATGGAAAGCGTGTTTCCTAATTATCGCGGTAATTCCTTCCAGTCTCTCTAACAATTATTAGACTTCTCTGAAGAGCTATTAACGTTTCTGGTTTCAAGGATCTTTCTAACGAGCACCCTAATCCTTCTTCATAGGTAGAAAGATACCTTGCCACGGCATCCCCGCGGACGCATTCAGAAAAAGGGTGATAATTAATCAATTTGCCTGGCTGGGGTGATTCCCTTTTAGTCAGACAGCCATCCATCTTCGGGTGAAATGAGTTCAAATTACCCAGGCATTAAACAAACCCGACCGCAATCCGGTTTCCATGTGACTCTGCCGGCTTCTGGTTATTCTGTTCCTCTTGAAAATTAAGGAACTTCTTTTCCCTCGATTCGCGTAATGAGATTATTATTACTACCGTTGCATCGTCATTTCTTAACGCTTTGAGGAACGGTGTCGCTCATATTCGTTAGTTCGACTTGTAATCGCGAAGGAAGGTGCGATATCGATGCTAGATCGAAGATTTGAGATCCGAGTTGATGGCTGGTTCAACGAATAATTACGAGCCGCGAACCGATCGCCGGTACCGAACGGTCCGAGAAAGAGAACTGGTTTTCGTTATCGTTTGCCCGTTGTACACAGAGTGTCCCTGACCAGAATACCAGCCCTGGCAGGCCGGGCGACAAATTTTCTTCGCTATCTTCGCAAGAGGATCTTGTCACGCGCGCATACGTTAGCCAGCCTCACCTTTAAGCCGCGTTCGCGACCCCACGTTGTCGCGAACGGGCGTGAAACTAGACCTGAATTTGCCGATGCTAATTAGGTCCGAGAACTAGTCTGGCTGATCGTTCGTTCGTTGCTCACGAGCGAGCGTGCATCTTGCCAACCGATACGAAAAACAGGGATCTCCAACGAAACAGCTCGAAGGAGAAGGATTATTTTTCATACGCGTATCTCGTTTTCCTTTTCCACGAGAACGTACCGTGGAATTTAACGAGAGACCGTGATCGCGAAACCCACGCGACGACCTTCGATCCGCGATCGATCCTACGTCGAAGGCGGTCCTGTTCGATTGTACGACGACGGGAAGTAAAGGCGAGACGATGGCAACGGTATTGCCTCGATTGTTCGACTTGGCATTGTTGCGCACCGGCAAAAGTAACGTGGCATGCTTGAGAAGCTTTCGTATTGATCTTGACGATTGAACGATAAACGGTGGGGGCTGTATAGAGGGGCCAGAGGAGGGCATTGTGTTCAGACGAGTGGAAGATCGTTCTTTTAACTGTTGTGATATAATATTTTTCGGTATAATAGAGAAATTCAGAACTTGTTATTTATTTATACCACCGAATCCTATAGAAATAGAAAGTTCAAATATGAGTATAAAAGAAGTAGCCGAAGAAATATTTTCGTACCCCATCAATTTCACTAGAGTATGTGACACCCTATTTCATAGATCTTAAACCTCAATTGGTATCCATGATACAGAATCTTCGGATGCATACTTGAAAAAAATGCTGATGCACCGTCCAGATCTCTTCGTCATGCATTTAAGACCTCGAGTGGCCTTGGGTGTCCTTGTATCGCAGGTCACTGAACTTG